CCAAAGACTTAAGTTGTTAAATCTGAAAGAAAAAGAAAAAAATAACATTAGACGCTTAAACTTAATTCACATTTAAAATCGGTCCAAGTTATTGGAACACCCTTTATAAGAAAAGATAGTCCATTTTATCAAGTTTGGTTTGGTTTATTTGTTTGTTTAATAGCATATCAACTCATTATCAGTCATATAATGTTGTAATTTCATTTTCTTGCGAGCTTAATGCACTGCTACCGGTTGAACGGGGAGTAAACACTTGTAACCATTTTCAAATATTAAATATTACACACCAATTATTTGCTAATTTTGATTCAGGAGCTCAGGCAAAAGGGTTAGAATTGTTCAGAAACGCAGGGCTGAAAGATATTTAAACTTCTGCACCTGCTTGATGTTGCCATCTCCAATTTGTAACTTGCATTTCGGGCCTTTTTTTCTCTTACTGATTACTATACTTTCTGTTTTATTGCATTGCTTTGTGTATGAAACTTCGAATCAGTCCTTTTGTTTTCACTTTGTTCTACCCCCCCCCCCTGTCAGAAGGTCTTCTAGTTTCCTTTCTGTGTCAGCCATCAACACAGTGTCATCTGCGTATCTTATATTGTTAAGATTACGCCCACCGATAATAAACACTGGTAACGTCTCCAGTTCCTATAAGATAGCGTCGCTGTAGAGCAGCGTTTCTCAACCGGTGCGCTCGGGTGCACTAATGCGCGCTGAATAGTAGCCAGGTGCACCCGGGCGCAATAATGCGTCCTGAAAGGTAGACAGGTGCGCTCCAAGTTAATAGAGTAATTCATGAATTATTTTTATATTTAAAAAATCTTTATTTTTAAAAAGCTAGAGACACCAAGCACGTGGCTTTCGTGTCTAAGTCAAGTATTTGTCATTTGATATTTTAAGCTGGGTGCTAAATTCCTTAATCTTTAAGAAAGAGTGAATAATCCTTTTTCTTTAACCTTCGTCAAGGCCTAACGTAAAAGGCCTAAAAATTGACAATGCACAGATTTCAAACATATTTAAATATACAAGGTAATGTCTTAAAAATAAATGGTTATTTCAGTAGAAATTTCCCTTTTGCATTCTTCAACCGGTCTCTCTAAAAAAAAAAAAAAATAGCAGATTCTTCATAAATCCCTTTAAATGAAAACTGAACGGCTAATTTTGAGGAATGCTAAACCAAAATTTCATATTTTTAAATTTCATGACTAATTTTTTTCTTATTAAAATATAAAGGACGCCCCAGAGTTTTAGTTATTCTACAAGCGTGTCCTGAAGTAAAAATAGGATCAAGGAACACTGCTGTAAAGGCTGAATAAACCTCTCTAAAAATTTCTGTATAGAACAAATTTTCAGCAAGAAATTTGCTAAAGTTCTTTTTTCATTCTGTTTAATCCACGCAAATTTCTTACTCCGGTCATTACATATATATTATCTTGAACGCTCCGATTATTACTTTTTTTTTATCCTAAACATTCTTCCGACATCTATTTACTCAAGCTCGCTGCGTAGGTACTCTGACCTTCTTGCCTTTAATCTGTCCTGTGAGTATCAAATTTCTCAAGCCCTCTTTCCTCATGTACGTCGAGATTTAACTTAAATGACATTTTCCACTGAACAATTTAAAAAAAAATTATTTTACATAGATAAAGCCCTTCGTAAGGTGTGGGCTGTACTCCTGAGAACAATTTTTTTGTATTTCTTTAAGGCATGGACTTCCAGGAATCCTTTCAATTAGTCTACTGGAATCTTTACGAACCAATCCCTACAAATTTCAACTGTCTCTTCCTAGTGTTAAGTATAAGTGTCCTTTTTGTTACCATTTTCTCTAGAACTTCGTCGCTTGCTCACTCGTTCAGCCCATAGTATCCTCAGCATCCTTCTGTAGAGCCACATTTCTGGAGAAAACTACTGAAATGAAAACCGGATTCAATAGTTCGTAGAATTTTTTTTCACATCAAAACAGCGCTGTTTTCCTCTATTCTTCTTGCCGTAAATCTGTCCTGTGAGTATCCAATTTTCTAAGCCCTCTTTCTTCATGTTGTAGCCTAGAAATTTCAATTGTCTCTTTCATATGTTAGGGATAAGTGTCCTTTTTGTTTTCATTTTTTCTATAAATTTCACACGTTCCGTTCATGGTATTCTCAGTACCCTTCTGTAGAGCCATATTTCTAGGAAAAACTACTCAAATGAAACTCGGATTCAAGAATTCATAGAATGGTTTTTCACATCAAAACCTAAGGAATTTTACTCGGAAGGTATCAAAGATCTGCCTGATAAGTGGCCACGTGTCACTGAAAATATTGGTGACTATTGAATTAAATAAAAGTTAATTGCAGTTTATATTTTGAAGAATAAAGTTGGTAAACAAAAACGGAAATCATTTATGGCTCAACTCAATAAAAAAAAACATTTGTAAATAAAGTTTGTAACTAGATAGAAGTTGAAATTCTTCTCTACTTATCGCCTACCGTACATTCCGGACAAGTTCTCGTATCGTGGAAACAAATTCTTGGAAAATGTCATCTTATGATAATTAGATTCGCATGACCTTCTCATATCGGAATATATTCCACCATTGCCACAGATATTTTATTACATCTACACGTTGTTTTCTAGCCTCATACGGAAATTAGATAAGTATTTTCTGAGAAAGGTATCATAAATATAGCACATCATCTTTTTATATCATTATAGCACACTGAATCAGGAATCTACGGTAATAACCTAATGGAAATACAAAGGAGCTGTAGACCGAAGTGACAACGGTTCAATATCACCCGTCGTCCCGGCAAAGGAAGAAAACCTGTTGGTGGATTCGTTTTTCTTCTTTTGTGTCGTGTTTCTTTACATCGTGGATGACTATAAATATTCACAATCTCCTATCCTTTGTAGCTCTAATCTTTGCCCGTTTATCATCCTCCCTAATCCCTGTTCTGACAACCATTTACACAAACTCATTTGGTAGCTTATGCGCTGTTTTCCTCTGTCTCATTTACTTTCATCATATATTTTTGTTTATTCACACTGCCAATATGGAGGCACCGAAGTTTCATTGATTCAATAATTTCATTTCTCTAAAGCAGTATTTACAAAGTTTTGTCGATTGATTTAATGACTGTAAAGCAACTTCCCGGCAAGTATTTGGCTAATTAGTAGCATTTTCTGCATTTTAAACACCTTGAATTTTTTTTACTATAGTTCACACAATACAAGGCCTTCGAAATCACTGTGTTGGTTTTACCAAATGTAAGTGGGCGGCTTTAGATACAGATATGTATTCAAACTTTTATAATGAAAACATAAATGAAGACAGCTAGAGAAGAGTTGGAAGAACGTGAATCAGTTATTCTTAACCATTTTCCTTGTCCGCATCCCTTTCAAACCACCAACCAGTTCTCGTACCCTTTTCAAACCACCAACCAGTTATCGTATCTCTTTCAAACCACCAACTAGTTATCCCATCCCTTTTCAAACCACCAACCAGTTCTCGTACCCTTTGCAAACCAACTAGTTATCGCATCCCTTTCAAACCACCAACCAGTTATCGCACCCTTTTCAAACCACCAACTAGTTCTCGCATCCCTTTCAAACCACCAACCAGTTCTCGTACCCTTTTCAAACCACCAACCAGTTCTTTTTATTTTAATTACTTAATTTCATTATGCAAAATCTTATTGGTAATGAAATTTTACTTACTGGTCACAGTCATCTTTTATTCATGAAAAAAAAAATTTGTGCTTAGAATATGAAACGCGATAAACCAATCTATGTGAGATAATTCAATATTTGACAAGTGGAATAAGTTTTGAATGCGGAAATGGAAGATATTCTAAAATACATATCAATAAGAAACACGTGTACAAAGTTTACATTGAAAGAATAACTCATATTTATTGTTCAAAAACAATATTATAGACTCTATATGATTATGATGGTAGCAAATTGTAAAATTTCTACAATGTAGACTTTCATATCAGATCACCAAACACTATAATTTCCTTAATACACCAACTTTAATGATTCAGTATCCTCGTACTGCCTAGTAACTCATATCGCACCACGACTACGAGGTGCGATTACCCCAGGTTAAGAACTACTGACGCAAATAATTTTCGTTGGTTAGTTGGGTGTTTAGTTGTTTTTGTTTAGCTGCATATCAAAACTTTTATGGGTTATTTAACGCCGAAATATAAATATTTTGCACGCAATTTTATTTATATTACTAGTGTACCCGTGCATTCAAAAGTTATTTTCATTTAATCAAAGTAAAATTATGTAATTTAAAATAGTTCATTTTCAACGTTAATAATTGAACAGTGTACAATTAATGAACACCCAAGGAAAGATATCCGTATATTATCCTCATAAATGTTACATATTTACAACCATAATACTGCAAAAGTTCCTAAGCATAAAATTCTTTGTGTAAATTTTGGATGGCCTGAGTAATCCTTGATACTCCGTCGATTCAATATGTAATTTCAGAGTTTGCTTATTTCACGTCCCAATAAAAGCAACGTATCACTAGATAATTTTATAATTTGTTTTTTTCCTCAAGCTATTACCAAATTCCACAAGATGCTCCGAATCATAACATAAAAACTGCATTAAAACTATCTAATTATTTAAATGTATAAGCTTTTAACTGCTATCATAAATACTCTTCTTAATTATAATGATTAAAGTTTAAAATGAATTTCTAAAAATGAACAAAGCATTCTTGAAGATATATGTGGGGTATCAGTACCCGTCAACGGGACCAAGTTAGCACAGCACCTGGTGAGTCATCGTTATTTTGGGCACCGCCCTTCAAATATTGCACACAAATATATATATATATATATATATATAGGGGGAGATAATATTGGTTATAGCGATAATAATTAATCCAGAGCTGGATTCATACTTTTCCCCAAGAGAATCCCAATGTAACTGGAATTGGAATTCGGCCCTCTAATTAACAATTCCAATTCATTTTTCATTACACCACTTGAACATGCAAGCTTACAGCACCTGGTATTCCAAAGCAGCCACCCATCTATGTACTGACGAGGCTCGATGTTGCTTAACTTCTGTGATCTTAGGGGAATCGGTGAGAACGTAAATGAAATGGGGAACATGCTAACAAACGTTTTATTTGCCTTCTCTCCGACCCTGTAATGAAAAGCTAGTATATATTAAAAAGTTATTTACTTAGAATTTCATTACGTCATGTTGCAAGAAGCTTTCTTTTTCCCACGTGTCAGGGAAGCATCTTCTCTTCGAGGTGTCTACCCCGGAATTTGCTCTCTTTATTGATTGGACTTAGCTGACTATCTGTTAAGGGTCACATGACTCGCCAAGTGCAGCACATACTTAGGTAAGAGGAAGAAAAGTTAACTACTTCATTAGAAACCAGAAAACACATCACCCATACGCAAAATCTTATACGCAAGAACTCTTCAACAAATACTTTCATTGATTTTTATAGATTTTTATTACAACGTCTTGATCGATCTACTCTCCGACTTTCAAATAAATTACAGCAATTCGTAACGAATAAATAACTTAGACTGAGATCTGAATTCGCCTGGGAGGTCGCTATATCAAATACCAGTATTTTAACTACTGAGACCGTAAAATACCAAACAATAATTTTTCACCACTTTCCGCCGACGTTTCTCATGCGCTTTCTTTACTACTTTGCGAACAGAAGCAACACAATTAGTAATGATGAAATAGTAATGATAAACATGACATATTGATGTTGGGCTATTTCAGATTCCGATCTCATGTGACCTTTCTTTTTAAGGTCGATACATCCCCACAAGTGCACAAACTGCTGTGAAGTGGTGTTTTTCATCCAGTTGCTATCTCCAGAGATTGCCAAGCAAGGCTAAATAGCTTTTATCAGCCCTTTTGTTGTGGACTAGTCACTGCGTACTAGCACAACCATTGACGGCTTCCGCACTGTTTCGTCTGCCCAGTTTCACTCACAATGCTTGAATAAACTCATGATATGGTTTTCAGGTGCTACTCCATTGTGCTGCATGTTGGAATCATCTCCTTAGACCGTTCTTATCAAGAATTCACTTCCTTGAGTAATCGCTCTAACCATTCGAGCACGCAACCACTTAACTGCCAGACATGCTAATTATCATCAATTAGTGTCGACCTGTTAAAATTTTTCTGGCATATATCTCAAGATTCCTCTAGAATCTAGAAAGATTACAAAGATGTTTTTTTTTTTAATCATTTCACCCCAAGCAAATCGGTGATGCCACTAGGTAACCGGGAGTGAAAGAGAATGAGAATATTTCAGCGAGAAAAATTGAGGAAAAAGACAATAAATGAACAGGGTGAAGAAAGACAGAAGATGGCGATTGACGTTGCAATTAATTTTTTGAAGATGATAGGAAGAAAACAAGAAATAGGAAGGGAATTCCACAGGCGAGAAGTGCGGGAGAAGAAACTATTAGAAGAGAACTAGCGGTTGCATCTAGCTAATTCAACTGTAAAACGGTCAAACCAACTTGCCAATCTAGTAGCACGCTTAAATTCATGCAGTCAATGCGCTATGGAGAACAGCACATCAGGACAATTTCCATAAAAATATTTGTAAAAAAGACAGAGGGAAGCCATATCATGATTGATTACATTACAGACGTTTCTTGAATTTTGTCTTTATCACACGATTTGCTAGGAATAATTGGATTAGGCCAAATATTTGCCCAAAGACACTAGCTGTTGAGCTTGTGGAGAAGGCCAGCTTGCCAAAACTTGTTTAACGCCTTTCAGATAACTGGGGCCATAGCCCGAGACTCGCCATTCTTATGTAAAGATTGATAGACAAATTCAGTGATGACTTAACACATCGGCAGTAGACCTAGGGAAACGGAAGCCATATTGTTTATCCAACAGGAAGTCGTGTGAAGTAAGATGCTTAACCAATTCGGCGTTGATTAGAGCATCTAGTACTTTGCCAAAAAGAGATAAGAGATTAATTGAAGGGGTCAGATTGGAAGGAAATATTTGTACCAAAATGACTGTTGCCACAATTTTTATATTTTATCCAATAATCTTATTTTTTCCAGCGTAAGAACTAATTTCAGTCAGAATTAAAAGAATAATTAAAAGCGCCAAAATTGTTTACCGAATAAGCTGTGTTGAGTTTTATAAACTACTTTATCGAGTTTTTAATCTTGTCTTAGAACAGAAGTCTGCACCTTAGGAATTGGAATTTGGCAATTTTTAAGTTTAAAAAATCCTAACTGACTTTATCAAAAACATTGTTCTATTTTATTTATTAATATAATTTACAATAACGTTTACTCTGTACAAGGCCCAAGTGCCACTTGAGAAGAGAGTTAAAAAATAAGAGGCGACACAGTTTATACAGATATGTGGAAAGGTAACGGCTAACCCTATACTTGTACGGGTTAATATTGTAGTAATTGGGGAAGCATCCTCTTGGGAGTTGGTTTCACAAAATAGTGGTTTCTAGGAAGAAAGTGTTCAAGTGGAAATTACATCTCACCAATGGAATACGAAGGGAATGTGGGTGATTCGCTACCGAGTGTGTCATTGTGGGTCTTAGCCATGGAGGTTAGAACTGGTGGTACTAAAGCAGGCATGGGCATCTTTTTTCGAACAGTGGATAGCATAAGGTATTCTATATTATAAGGCAAGCCACACGACTAAAAAAAAAGTAGGCCATTTTTTTTTAATTAAAAATACCGAAAATATCTCTGTTGTGTTCATATAATTTTTTTATTTAAATTCCATGAGGTTTCTCCTATGTATTTTTGTGACAATTATTACAGGTGATCAAGTAAATTCCTCCTTCAAGTTTTAGTTTATTGTTGTGTTTTTTTTAGTATTGACTAAGTTTTATTTTTTTAGATGTAATAGTAACAAATTTTATGTTGAGTTTAGATAGATTCTTTCCAATTTTACATGTGATAGAATTATTTGGTAGGACGATATGTTTTGCTTTGTTTTTTGTTTTTTTTAATTGGATTTGTCAGGAGAGGCCGCTTTTCTATTTTGGAATATATTATGAGCATTTTGTTTCTCATTGAATATAAAATAATTAGAGTAATGAAAAACCTTGAAAGTGTTTTCGATGTATTTTTCCTTTTTATGTAAATATTGAGGGCTGCAAATTCTCTTAAATAGTTTCGATGATTATACAGAATCTAAATAAAAGGTTATATGAACACAAAAGAGACATTTTCCAAAACAATACATCAAATGAGTTGGTTGGCCACTGTAACGAGACTGACTACAATTTTGACATAAAAAATGAGAAAACAATTGTTCAAAGGAGAAAACAATTCACTAAGACGAAAATGTCTAGAGAATTCTTTGATCGTAAAGTCATCTAGAGTACATTTGCGCCCAGGCTCTTACAACATTTCACCATTCCTGTCAGAACTATTATCCCAGTGTAGGACATCTACTAACAAAAGTGATGGAAAGAAAAAGAAAACGAATCTAAATGAAATTGGCCATATTCAAAATAAAAAAATTAAAAACTTCTCAGCATTCCTGCTTCGGGTGCATATGTAGACGAACCAGCATAACAAATTTAGTCCGATGAAATCCTAAAAGATGAAACACGTCAGAACTAAACTTTTACTCTTTGCCATACATTTTCCCCAATATTGTTCTTGATATATAAAATATCGTTATCTCGTATATATATAATTATTATTTATAAAAAAAAAATAAAAAAATTTATAACAAATATGTTATAAAATCACTACAAAAATAGCCATTTTGTTTCAACACCCTCGGTGTCTTATCAAGTGACACCGAGGGTGTTGAAACAAAATTGCTATTTTTGTAATGATTTTATAACATATTTATGTTATAATTTATTTTTTTTATAAATAATAATTATATCTGCTCTACTTTATATTGAGCACTCTTTTAAGAATAGTAATTGTTGGTTATTGGAATTCATTCAGTATACACCAATTATACACTTAGGTATATATATATATATATATATATATATATATATATATATATATATATATATATATTTGCGTTGATGTGAGTCGTTTCTAACCCTGTGTTTCACGACCTTTGCGATCGTCAAATAAACATGATTTGTCTGATGATCGCAAAAGGCGTGAAAATTAGGGTCACAAACCCACTTCAACGCAAATAAATGTTAGCTCTATTGAGCGCTTTACAATAAGTACCACGCATATATAATATATAAATAATATACATAGGAATTGAATATATATATATATATATATATATATATATGTGTGTGTGTGTGTGTGTGTGTGTGCGTGTGTGTGTAAAATTTCAGATATAAATAAAATAATATATCTGTAAAGACAAAAAGAAAAAAATACTTTATCAACGCGTTTCGTCCCTTCGGGGATTTTTATCGAGGTAAATGTGGAGATTTAATTTCGTAACCTTTATTTATACACAGAAGTAACATGGATGAAAAATATCAGTAACTTTGCTTCGGTGCATAAATACAATTTGAAAAATAATATGTCCACGTTTACCTTGATAAATTTACCCAGGATACGAAACGCCCTTTTGTCTTTACACACACATAATATATATATATATATCAGTTGTATGGATATGAGTTATCCATACAACTGAATATGTTAGCTCTATGATAGATATTGTGCACTTTCCATTAAGTAGCGCATATATATATATATATATATATATATATATATATATATATATATATATATATATATATATATATAAGAAAAACAGACCACTTTAAGGTTCCATTATAATAATTTATTTCATCAGATAGCCCTTACGAAAAATGAAATGAAAATTGATGGGCAGTGTAAGTTTTTGTAATTTAACAGAGTGTAATAAGGAGTGGGTTGAGAGACATGCTAGAGTTTAGGGATGGTTTAATCTGATATCTCTTTCAATTATACTTAGTATTGGGGGAGGAGGGGTGATCAGACCCTGGTCTATTTAAACGGTTAACTTAACGGAAGTGATATATTGAAATGGGAGGTGAGAAGAGAGAAAAGAAAAAGGGAAAAGAAAGAAGGGGGAAGTAAAGAGAAAGAGGCTGTAAATCGGTTTTACATATGAAGAAGAGGGGTGGTAAGTTT